CCCAGAGGGGCCCCCAGAGGGGCCCCCAGAGGGGCCCCCAGAGGGGCCCCCAGAGGGGCCTCCTACTGGGGAAAGGGTACAGTTGGGGAAGGCCCTGGTGGAGGCGAAATGCAAAAGAGAAATGACGGAAAATGAAGAAACGATAAAAGGCCGGGGCGGCAGTCAGCAGCAGCAGCAGCAGCTGCTGCTGCAGCAGCAGCAGCAGCAGCAGAACGCGCTCGAGCAGGAGCTCGCAATTTTAGGCCCTAGAGGCCTTGGCTGGGGCTGCTACCGGTTGCTGCAGCGGCTCGATTCTGCCATTGCTGCTGCTGCTGCAGTGCCTGCTGCTGCTGCTGCTGCGCCAGCTGCTGCTGCTGCTGCTAAGGATCCCCCGCCTGGGGTCCAGCAGCAAGTGGCTGCCCCCCAGCAAGAGGCTCTTTTTGCTGCTCTTGCTCACGCTGACTGCTGCTGTGGCTGCAGCAGCAGCAGCAGTAACGGTGACAGCAGCAGCAGCAACAAGAACGCGAGTGACAGCAGCAGTAGCAGCATTAATGACAGCAGCAGCAACAACAGCGAAGGCACCAGCAGCAGCATTGGTGGCAGCAGCAGCAGTAGCAACAGCAGCAGCAACAGCAGCAGCAGCAGCAGCAGCAGCTCAGCATCGGGCTTGCCTGCTTGGCGCGTCTTGGAGACAATTAGATCTCTCTTGGCCCTTTTTAGACTTCGCGCCCTGAAGCAGCAGCCCCGAAGCAGCAGCAGCAGCAGCAGCAGCAGCAAGGAGGAGGCGCTGCGGAAGATCCTCCGACGTTTTCTGTATGAGAGCTGCGCGGTTGAGTGTCTCCTTCTCAAAACTAGCAGCAGCAGCAGCAGCAGCAGCATGGCCTGCTGCTGCGAAGGCTGCCAACGTGTTGCAGCGGCAGCAGCAGCAGGAGAGCCCGCAGCAACCCCTGCTGCAGTTATGCGGCAGCTGCTGACTCTCACAGAGCTGCATGCAGCAGCAAAGGATTGGGGGGCCCCCGGGGGCCCCTGGGGTGCCCCCTCAAGGGGCCCCTGGGGTGCCCCCTCGGGGGGCCCCTGGGGGGGCCCCCCGAGGGGTGGGGGCCCCTGCTG